CCCAGATTGACGTGTTGAAGACCAGCGATGAAGTGGCTAGATGTTGGGGTTGAAAGAACAGCAACGTATTGCCACAATCGGGGAGTCTTTTAACGAAAACAGAATCGGAGCTTAAAGCGTTTGTCGACCAAAACTAGCATTTCGCGTATAACGTGTTACACGATCAAAACTGAAACAGGGTGAAAATAGGTCCCACCTGAATCGACTCTAGGCCAGTTGGAAATAAAGGCGGCATATTTTACGTACAATTCATGGAACTTTAATCAACAAAAAAATCGCCTGAGACATACGGTCACCATAAAAGAGGTACGGGTCAGTTCTACCGATGGTATCAGGTAAGCCTTGCAAATCGAACTTGGTAGCAGTGTTGGGCTGGTTCGAAAGTAAGCTAGTAGTGGTACTTACAGCGCATACAAGGGACATCTGCTACCACAAGATACTTGCTGGCAATGAAACGGTGAGTGTAACCCAATTAACTGTTTCGCATCCATTAAGGGTTCATAGGCCATCAATATTGCACGCAGTTCAGTCGTTTGACGACAACTCCAGCTCTTATTTATTTTTTGGCTTAAGAAAACGTTGCACTTAACTGCTTATTCTCCCGACCTAGGTCCTTGTGATTAGGGCGCTCTTAATATTGCCTTATCGATTTGCTTCGATATATAATTCAGTTGACACTCGTCGTAATTCTAAAAACGTTTGACAGACGTAACATACACCCGTTTAATGATCCATAGCACTAGGCGGATCCATGGCAGGGGTTAGAAATGAGCTCTTTGATCAGGGAAACGGGTTGCTACGGGGATATACTGAGGTTTATTACAAACAGGTAATAAATAGCTCTCAGACCCTCTGATTAAGTAAGATGATTTGCTGCTAAGTCCTTTTGGAGATATACAGGGTAGGTCGCTTTCTATTATACCTAGGTGCATTAAGGCCGGTCAACTTCTACCACAGTATTTTTTCACGGCAGTTTCGAAAGCCCATAGTATCGACTCAGTACCGCATGTCCTTGTGTGGCATGCTAGGGAACCCAGATTCTATGTTACATTCTATACCAACTTGAAGGGTGACAAAGGTTTGCATATCTAGTTGTTACATTATTTTCACGTGCCATACAACCTGTGCGAACAAAGGAAGTTATATTATCTTTATATCAGGTTTCGGTTCCCCTTTGCTTCCGGTTGACAATTAATCGATGTTTGCTTAGCGTCTTTGCTAATGAATACATACATATGTACAGCGTGGCCGACGCTACGAGGGCCAGATCGTTCCTCGCCCTGTGCAAGACAGCGAGTACTTCGAAGGTCGGGGCAGAAGGCATATCAATTATGGCGATAGCCGTATTGTTGCGGACGTGATTCTGTTATCAACGTCATACGTCGCTACTGCAGCGTTAGAAATGGACAAACGTCGCCGGCATCATAACTAAGCCGCATTCATTCATGCAGAAGACTGTATTAGTATCGTTGCTGCCGCGTCCAGCGGTGCCCATTCCTTTATGGATCGTGCTCAAGTCGTCGCGGTCTTAGCAGCGGCTGCGGTCCACTAGAGAAAAGGCTCAGGAAACGTCGAGCAGTGTTTCATTATGCTGTACGCCATGATGCTTCGTTTGGCGTTGGCCTGTCAGCAAAAATTAGTCACGAAATACAATTTGTAATTTAACTAAAAATAAACATTAGCAGCAATCGTCCTGCCTTTATCGAATAATGTGCAATATCATATATAATGCGACATAGATGTGGCACGGAACGACACTCACATTGAACATTGAACTGGTAGCAACGGTGACCTGTGTCACAACTACAGCTATTACTTCTACTACTATGGTCACCATTTGTAGTTCGTACGCGGCCTTCAAAATTGCACAGTTTTGTCGTTCGATGCTACTTTAGCTAGAATACTTTTCTCAGTCATTTGTTTATCAGTTACGTATCAAAATTACGCACGATTCTATTTTATATAATATATCTTATGTAACATAACGGTACGTCATTGCTGCCGAGCCAATTGTTTGAACTAATTAAGTACTATTATTTACGTGATTAAGCATAATTTACGTTTACCCTTTCTTTGTAAGTTCATAAAATGTTCTTTCAATTACCGGTACCGGCAAAAATCGCTCTTCTGCTATGCTGCGGCCAAGGAATACTTATAGTTGACATAATCAGATCGAGAACTATCTGTGCCCCCCGCAACCCTGTATCTCACTAAAGAGATTGTTGGAGAATTATAATGCACTTCTTGACCTATTCTATCGTCTTTGACCATTGCAAAGAACGCAGCCAATCAAGTGTCTGCGCCTAATATTGCCAATCAGATCGTGGACCAACTCAAATGTCACCCACGGCGTAGCTACTGGTGGAGTATAAGCCAACAACAAGGTCCACATCCCATAAATAACTCCTGCTAATAACCCCCTGCTCAGAACAGGGTTCTGGCATTTTCACCGTACCCCTCGTTTCATCTATGCCTTGCGAATAAGGTACTCGCCATACACATAGATAGTCGATGTGTCGGCAGCTAATCTGAACTCAAACTACAACCAGCTAATAAATTTGCCATAAATTAATCCGCCTGTCAACACCAGCGATACCTCCGTGTTCGCGTCTCTAGCGCCGAGAGACTAGCCCTTTCTAAACCCTTCGCTAATGAAATCGACACTGACATAATTCTACCGTCCACGCGCACCATTATAAATGCTACTCATTTTATATATATGTAAAAGTTTTTTCCAATAGAGACAGTTGTATTTAATAGAATGATCAAGCGATGGACAAACGCGTATACCTGAATGGCACACATTGCTCAGTGCATGTATATATAAAATGTGTATGCGTAGCGCTTAGGAGTGGCTGCAACCTTGTGAAGCCGACTGCTATGCTGCTCTCTCTGCTTACTATTGTAGCTGGGCTTCTTCTCAGATAGGCCCAATGCTATGTGGGTTCTCTTCAGCTCCGTAGAGCCAGCAGCTTCGGGAACAGCAGTAGACGACTGTGTGGAGAATGAATATGGCGGTTGTCGACGGCTGACGACTGTTCGTGTCGGTCGTTGTCGTGTTCATCGTGGTCGTAGCCTCATCGTAGCGAAGAGACTGAAGGACGAGAAAGAGCTCGTTGGACTGCTGGTGGCGAACGAACTGCTTCCTCAGAAATAGGCAGACCGACCGAGCAAGCGGCTGTTTGCTGTCCGTCGGCTGTTCAGCTCGCTTCTTTCTCTAGCCGTCGTTCGAGCGCCGGCCATTGGGTGACAGCGAACAGCAGCGGGCAGAGAGCCAGCAGCCAGCAAAAAGCGGCGTGCGAGCGAGGTAGTGACGGGCAAACTCGGCACCATCGCATCGTTGTGGTCCGACTCGCCCAGCGTAACCCGGCATTAGCAGCAGCCGCACCATGGACAGCATATGCTGCTGCTGCTGCTGCCGCCGTTAGCTCAGCCAGCCGGCCAGGCGGTAGTCAGCGAAAGAGCTACCTAGCAAGCCAGCCAGCCAGCCAGCCAGTCATCCTGCCAACTACTGCTGCCGCTACTGCTGGCCAGCTAGGCAGGGAGTCAGGCAAGCGAGCAGGCGGCAGGGAGGGAGGCCGGGAGCGAACAGCCAGCCGCGCCTGTCTGCGTCGGTCGGTTGTCGGCCTGACCGGCCAAGGCCTCCTCGTCGAGGCGGGACCTTCCGCTGGGCGAACACTGCGATTGGTCGGCGGACTCCTCCCAATTGGACGCCCGCCTCGGCGGCACGGGCTTGGCGGCCTATGGTGGTGGATTTGGCTCTGTAGCCTGGCGAATACTGGTGTGGCATCGCAGCTGAACGACCGCTGAGCGAGCGAGTTGGACCGAAGCGAGGCAAGCGACGGCTAGGGATTCGAGGATCGAGCGCGGACGCAAAACGAAAAAACACGAGGCACACTAGCGGCAATAACAGCTACAGAAGAACCGCTGGACAATGCCAACCAAACAGTGGAAGAAACAGCCAGTGTCGAGACGTGCCAGTGCGCTACGGAAACAGCTTTCGGTGTAGAGCTTGAAATATTAATAACCTCTCATCAGCCAGTCCTCGGTTTTCGAAAAACAACAGCAGCTGCCGGTCGCCCAGCCCACGTTCAGCAGCTGCACTGTTCGATATCTCGATTATCAAGGCCTGGAAAGGCACTGGCATGACAACGAGTTGGAAACGCGTCAGGACCAACTGTGAAATAGAGCGCAGGACCGCTATTTGGCTCTTACTTTTGCCTCCACGTCAGTGCCCCCCTCCTCGGATCTAGCGTGGTTCCCCCCTCCCCATTTGCCCATGTGGTGGAAGGCATAAAACGAAAATTTTACTTTTTAGACGATATAGGAGCCGAAAATAAAGAAAAAAAAAAACAAGAAAATAAAGGTACGGATTTTTAAGTGCTTTAAGTAAAGGTCGGTCCGGACAGTGACTACGACTCGTTAAGTGAACATGGCGGTTCTGAAGGCAAAATAGTGTGCAGTATCTCTCATATTTGTACGTCGACTTCTGTTCGGTGCAAAACCTGAAAGGCTGAAAGTGAGTGTGAGTGTGACTTGTCAGGATCCGGTGGCAGCGTTCGTCGATTAATAATTGTCTTCATCTGTTGGAAAGAATTTTTTGTGTCCGGGACAACATCATAATCGTGGAAATTCTTTTCGACCGATTCCCTAAATCATTCAAAGGCGCCCAGCGACGGGCTTAGATGAACTGGTGGCTAAAGCTGAGTCGCATCTGCATTAGTTGTTGATCTCTGTCTAACCTGTATCTGGTTTACGCTCGAAGCCGCTTAGATTGTTTTTGTTCAATTTGTTGTTAGCTCTTGTATCTGGTTTATCTCGTAGCTCGATCGTCCTTTGCGTATTATCTTCGACTAGAGAAGAGTTTACCTACTGCTAGCGCACAACGTGAAACGCCAATCCTATCTCATCTAACCCGTTCGAATCTCGTGGGCTCTTGACGTGCACGCGGCGAGGAAGCTCTAGCGTGCTGTCATGTATTTTTGGTAGGTGCGTAGGCTATGAACCGTGCTGTGTTCGGCGTCAACGGTTACCTCGGCACCGTTTCAGAGACTGAACGTCCGAGTAGAGCCCCACGTAGCCGCGAGGTCGACCAAGACCAAACTAGTCTCGTGGGCTTCACTCGGAGCACACGAGACTATTCACGTCCACCACAGTATAGCTCGTACGATTCGTACGGCGGTCATACCACGGCGGCAATGGCCCAATACCCTGAGCTGGCAGCACAGGTATATTTCCCGCCGCCAGCGGCTCCAGCAGATCCCTATCATCCGGCGGTGCACCATCACCACGCAGTACATCATCTAAGCGCCTATACCGACCCGCGAACACCGCCGCTACACGATGGTCCTGGTCAGTTGGAAGCGCCAACACAGCCATCCAGTTTAAGCTACACAAATCTCGACCAACAGCGGGCAGCAGCCGCAGCGGCAGCTGCTGCAGGTTATGCGCGAATTTCCACGCCAACGTACAATAACGGTTCGTCATCAGGATATAGTTCGCCAGGCGCATCTCCCAGCCCCACACATCCCGCCGCCTCAAATTTCTATCGGGAGTACCACACACATTCGCCAACAACGACAACAACGTCCGGAGCAGCTGCAGGGGTGACAGGCGGCGGCGGAGGTGGCGGAGGGGGCGGTGGCGGGGTGCATGAAGGAGCTGGTGGTGCGGGCCGTGGAACAGCAGTTGTTGGCGAACTGGCCGATCAAAAGCCGCCCATTGGATTGCCACCTTCGCCCACGCACTCCGCTTACCCTTATCTCGAGCTTGGCGCCGGCATGGGCAGCCATGGGCGACAAAACAGCGTGTGCCGCCAATCGTATATGATGGGCGGCTACCCAATGAGTGTTGGCGGGGACTACGATCTGATGCGTATGGACCCTCTGTACGGTGGCATGGGCGACGCGATGGGCGCGATTGGCTCAATGGGCGGAATGGGCTCGATGGGGGCGCCCTATCAGGGCGCAGTGGGTGCAGGATCGATCAACCCAGCGACAGTGAAATGTGCGACGAACGCTGCACCGGTCCCCACATATAAATGGATGCAAGTCAAGAGGAACGTTCCGAAACCCGGTAAGTTTTGACATTTACATTGATATATAAAGTAGAAATTTAACGTGAGATCTTGATGGGCTTACTAACCAGTTTTGTAGTAAACTACTACATGTAAATTAGGCTCTGAAATTGATTAAAAATACAAATACAGTCAGTTTGTAAAAGTTAAACAGTTAATTTCAATTATTTAAGCCAATGATTCATTTAAGTTTGACGGACAGCGTTACAAGTAAGGTGATCTGTTTAGAAACAGCTTTGTACAAATCCTGATTGGGGTCAGGTATCTGGGTTATAGGTGGTACGACTATGATCACATGTTTATTAATTATCTAATAGTTTCATATATGCCAATAATATGTCATTGTACGCTGGCAACGGTGTTGCCAGAAAGACAGTCCATAAATGTACACGGCTACATAGATGCCTCAAAGTCATATCAGAAGACGGAAATAATTATTGTGAAATCTCCCGCATTTATCGAGAACTTATTTAAGCATAGATTTTATAAATAAGTGCAGTTAGATGTAGCAACAATCAATATTTGTAGAATTTGAGCTGCTCGTCTCTGTACTAAATATTATACGACAAATTCAATGTTTATGATAGCTAAGTTGTAATACTTCCAACCTGTCAAATCTGCATAGATAAATGTAATACAACACATGGACATGGCCTGCCAACGCTTAGGTAAAACACAGTATAACCTATCACGTATTAAACAACTTTAATTGCTTTCTTATCTGGACGCAGAAGCGCTTTTCAATACCGTACACACCAGTTAACCTCTTTTTATGTTGTCAAGGTGGCGTCGTTACGAGTGAAGTCTGCTATTAGCAGGATCAACTGACGGCTTATTGTCGTTGTCGTATGCCATTCCTTATGGAAGGCCATTGTTACTGTTTACCGTCGTGTCCGCACGCGTTTGCCCGCATCGTCGGTCGGTTTTATTCCACACCAGTTGGCATCTGAAGCACTTTGTTCGATCAGCTCCACTAACAAAAACACGCAGTTACGTTCGCACAAAGCAGCGTCACAATTGGCTGGCTTGTCGGCTGGTCGTTTTTTAAGTAGCTCGTTGTTGTGAAGCGGAGTCACGCGCCGAATGAATACCTCAAAAACCATGACAACTTGTCAACTGTTGTGATGTACGCCATACAATATATGACACACAGATCTCGTAGGTGGTTACATTGCGGTTACGCAAACTGGGAGAAGTCCCTTGATCTTGCGAAAGCACCTTCCATCAGTTAATGAACTATTTACTACAAGAAACAAGCTTAAATTGAAGCATGAAGCTAAATGATAACAAAAAGCGGTCCTAGCTATATTTTCTTGCGATTCGTTCTAATCGTGTGTATGCATTCAGCTTTTATTTATCTTTAAAGTATTTTTTTAACACGTATTAATGGAATAAGCCAGTTTTTAGTGGTTTTCCAGTAGTCCAGTTTTCCACAACGAAAGTCTTCCTAGTGCTGTCTTTAGGGCAACTTTCCTAGTAGGCATGTTAGACGCGTCCTTTGTTGTTCAGCCTTTTTATCTTTTGTTCCAAAGTTAAGACTTCATGGCGCCAACATCAACCTGGCGTGCAGCTAATCGACACTCGTTGTTTCCTTGGGGCGTGTTGTTGCCCCTCGAGTGCGTCTCATCGTGCTCGTGGCCCCGACGCCTCTGCGAGGTCCCATAGTTTTACTAAGCGGAGCTATACCTTTTTGTCGACTTCGCTTCTGTTAGTCGTCGCTTGAGGAACGCCGACAAGGAGGGGTCTAGCGATGAAGGCGGTAAGGCCAAGAATGGGAAGAAAAAATAAAGCCGATATCGATTAATTGATTTTTTTCTGTGCGTTCGTCGCCTCTAGCCCCGACTGAAGCTCGGGCTAATCAAGCCTGGCCTGTTACTTTCAATTCATTCATTCAGGTCTTCGCACAGTACATGAGACGTCGATGCCATAGTCCTATTTCTACTATTTACGCTGATGCACCGACTACTTAGACTTATTGTAGACCATGAAGGGGAAAACTTTACTAATAAATAAATACATACGACGGGGTTATAGAGTTGTATAATACGTTGATAATTTAGAAAGAAATGGTTGCTTAATTTTCGCAGAACAATGGGCTTTTATATAAATGTACTAATTATTCATGAAATTAATATATTATGTGTGACAATAGTTCGTTCACCTGCTATATTTTTGGTAGTCTAAACCGCTAATTAAATACATCCGGCTTATTACTATTATTATTATCCGGCTTACGGTGGCACGCAGGATCGGTAACCGCCAAAGGTCAGCTTCTCCAATGTGTAGATATATTTAGTGAACAGCTCCGTTACGGCGGCAAATGCATAGACAAGCAGCAGAACTATGTAGAGGCATGGTAGTATTTAGTTGGTGTGCGAAATCTTCAAATAAATCAGGGCGGCCTTTCTACGACTCTCGATATCGGAACATCGCTACAGATCAACTTGTATTCTGCCAAATGTAATAGGACATATTTTCAGATGCGGACATCGAAGGTTCGCTGTTGCTATCCTAAGCTAGATGCACTACGGATAATAGATGCTGTATATTGTGCCGATTCAGCCGTCCCCCACTCAGACGTTTTGCAGGGCACTACCGCGAACGTGTGCACAAACTGTTATACAATTTTCGTGTAAACTTGGCGCGCTTTGAAAAACTAAATGTCTTCTGATAATACACCTCGTGTATTAGGCCAGCGTTGTTACCCTGATTACAAATATCACCATTAGATATTTTCATAATTAATTTTTACAGATGATTGTCGTTAAAAACCATTGACCAAAGTAATAGCTAATAAGACTTTCTACCGTAGAAGACCTGAGTCAGCTGCTAGCGGCTTAGTTTAGGACGAGATCCAAAATGTTAAAGACTTTATTGTAAACTAGCATAAAAATACTTATCTTCTGTATCCTGCCAAAACAAAACGTGCTGACTATAAAGCGTGACACCTTTTAAAGAACCGAACCGTGAAAACAGTTCGTTTGCCTCCAGGATATTGTTATAATTTCGATAAGGGGAAAAGGAGTGAAAGGTCTTCCATGCGTCTTACTCGCGAGAGACTCTCACGTCCATTCACATAATTAAATTTATGTACTTTTTCTTCCTATGGGGTACATCTTACCGCTCAGCCATCATGCCGTCCTTCATTCTTTTTTATTATGTCTACAATGCAACGTTTGTCTCCTCAATAACAGTCGTATATTGCTTTACGCCTGCGAAAGCAAATGAGGCCGATTAATTTGCCCACGCTTCATTAGATGTGGCTAATATACGGTGGCGGTACTAGCTAGGGGCAAAGCGAAACGAGAAGGGCAAAAAACAGTGGGCGGTCTTGTTTCAAACTAATTAGCCAGAAGAGCAGCAACTTCATATGCAAACTTTTTTGTTTTTCGTCAGCCTCGTTTTCCTCGTTGTTTCTATTAATATTGCCATCGTTCTATCCGCCCTTAAGTGTAATATGTCCAAACTACGTCATCACAGTCGCCACTTGTCTCATCAGTGCGCACGATGCCCTCCTGGCTGGACTAAGTCACACATGGGCGCTTTCTGGTCCTCGGGTACTTGTGGATAACGGTACTAACAGACACAACAGCTGACAATAACTTTTCAAAGCTAGGCCAGCCTAACGCCACTGGGCTATAAATAGAAGTAATAGTTGTGCGTCGGCTAATTCTGTCATATAATCATAAGGTAAACAGCTCTTCGGTTTCTATCACCTCTTTGGAATATAACATGCAACCCAGCGCTGATTGCAATAATGCTTATAATGTAGTATATAATGAATGACACACAATACTGTAACTGTGAGATAAACGTAGCAAACGTGTTCATAACAGCGGAAATCGCGCATGCAATCCTTCCAATCACCATCGTCGTTTTACAGCATCTTGAACAGCAACGGCGACATGTTCCCCCGATCTCTGATTTCGCCTCGTAATCTCGAAGCACACAAACCCAATTAATTAAACAACCATGCGTATGTGTGAGGCTGGGTGCATGCGCGCCACATTCTGCCTACTGTTAGTGCTGATTTTTCCTGTTTTTTAGCAACTACTCTGTCCTAGTTAAAATCCTTTTGTCGGTTGTAGGTAGTACCTCGGCGCGTCCTTTCGCACGGAAAGTGCGTCACCATGCGCCTCAATCACCATGCGTCTGCCCGTGTTGTCGAGACAGGCCACTGGGTAAAGTTGGCAGATGTTGGAGCGTTTAGTATCGACGTTATTGTCGTTGATATAAAATGACGCAGATGTGGTTCTTCGTTGTCGATGATGCCTATCGACCCATATAAACGTCGAAACCCGCTTAGCGTACAATTATAAGTAGACACGCATGTACATATGTCCGTGCAACGCTGGCCAACAAAATCTGCAACCGTCTGTGGTTTCCTGCACCTGCACCACCGCTAAAAAACTAGTGCTAATTCTGCATTGTCGTAATGTTATGCGTCAACTGTCAGTTCTCCTTTACATAATTACGAGTGAAAAACGGGACATCATATTAAGCATTCTAATATGAACAGCTTAGGTATTCGATCGACTCGTTTGGTTTTTCATTTGTGACACGCACTTTCTTGACTGTACACTTCAATTCTTACCCTTGTGGGAAAGGTAATGACCGGTTTCTGTTTGTTTCTGGGTAATAAGCGGTGAGAGGTATGTAGTCTGTTGTGTCGTCATTGCTCAGATCATTGGCACCAAGCAGCAAAGAAAGAGGTGCTCACGGTGGCCAATGTGCGTAAGAGCGTGCAGTTGCGCTTCTTCTTTTTGGACGTTTGTGCGCTCGTATGAGCGTCTTCCATTGCTGAACTGAACGTTCTTCGCTCCATTCCCGTCTGGCAGTCGGAAGGAGCTAGAGCTGCTGCAGCAGCAGCAGCAGCAAGACTTAAAATCATTGTCGAAGACACTACGGCCATCTCAGTCGTTCTCCTCGTCAGATTTCCTGGAGAATTGTCATCTTGTACCTGTTTGCGGAAGTAGCTGCATTAGCCGCCGGTGCTTAT